CAACAAACCGACACAGAGAGGAAGGGCAACGACTAAGAAAGTTGGGGGCGTAGGAAGAGCGGGGGGCGGGCGGAATGTCGAAGGGGGGGTTGAGAGCGGGATGGGCGGGTTGAGTGGGATGGGTGGGCGAAAGGGTGAAGAAGGGGGTGCAGACAGGAAGTAGGGGGAGGCGCCCGCCACTTCAACAAACCAATACAACTGAGGATGACGAGAAAAGGACGGGGTAAGGGGAGAGTGCAGGCGAGGGAAGGGGGAAGGAGAGGGAAGGCGAGGGATGGCGACGGAGGCGAGGGAGGAGGGGGAACAGGAAAAGCGAGGGAAAGGAAGAGGGAAAGGAAGAGGGATCGCGAGGGAATGCGAGAGAGGCGGGAAAGAAGGGGGAGGACTAGGGGGACAGGGGAAGGGAATGAGGCAAGCTAGGTGCGCTCGCGCCAGACCTGATATCCAACCCATCTCATCCGTCCCTTCCCATTGCGCTGTCTTTACTCTATCCGCCGCCGCGTGTCATAGCGAACCTGGAACTCCAAAGAAGACCCCATCGTCTTCTGATCAATCGGAAGGCAAGAAAAGAAGCCGCGTACACTGGAGGAGGAGGAGGAGGAGAACGAGGTGGCGTATCAGCAGGACGATGAGCAGGAGGACAAGCAAGATGAGAGAGGATGACGAGGGCGAACAGCAGCAGCAGGAGATGGAGTTGACAGAGCGGGAGGAGCAAGAGAACCATGGGAAGGCGGAGGAGGGGAAGTGAGGGGGGCGACAACGATGACAAAAGATATTGTCCGCGCTGGGGCGAGAACGCCATTCTTAACGACTGGAGCAACGCGCCGATCCAAACATGAAGCCCACGCTGCAACGGAAACACTAGTTTGAAACATCCGTAACAATGGTTGTGGCGACCTAGAGGCTGAACTAGGGTCCTAAAGCACCAGGGAACTCGCAATTACCACTGGCCCCAACACATCCAAAGACGACATGGTGAAGCAAGACGCTTGACGGCATTACTGACAGATGTGAGGCCGAATGATCACGTGCGAGAGAAAGAGGAGGCGGATGAGGAAAAGGAGGAAGAGGAGGACAGGTGGCGGAGGCACAAGATGGGGAATCCGACGAGGGAAGAGGCCAGGCGGAGAGGTGAACGAGGACGGAGGAGGCCAGGCGGGGGAGGAAAGCTGGGAGAGGGAATGTGGAGGGAGGGGAAGCGGCGTGGGGGGAGAAGAAGGGAAGCGGAGGCTGGGCAGAGGCTGCCCGTGCGCTCCTCGACGTCCGCTTCGGCCTCTCGGGCCTTCGCGTCGGGAGCGCCTCCGCGAATCCACTCTGCCCACCGCGGGCCAGACGCGTACGCCGAGGCCGCCCGCTTCCGGCAGCGGCTGGTTCTATTATATTGGTCAGTAGGCGCCTCGACGTCTCGGGGAGTACGTCCATTCAGGGTCCTCTGAAGCCACTCCAGCTCATCGCCATATCTGGACCCTGGCACGCGCGAAGTGTGGACGGACAGAACGGGGACGATGTCCAACAGCAAAAGCTGTCCAAAGCTGGCAGCGGCACCTTATGTGCAGGCGACCTTTGTCTCAAATGGAAAACGTTTGCGGCGACACCGATGGCGAATCCTGTTCAAAGTGGGCAGGAACTGCTGCTGGTCGTCGTCCCTAGCCTGTCGTTTCCCATTTTGACCGGACAATTTCTGGACTAAAACTAGTGGGCCAATGAGCTCAGCCCGGGGACCAGACGATCACCAAGGGCACGGCGAGTGCCGAGCACCCTGAGCTCCCTATTATGCGCCACCCCGCACTGCGCGAGAGTGGGGTGCTGGAGTGCGTCAATTGTCTGGTCGAGTTGCTGAGGGCGAGCATGGTGTCATGATGATGCGTGTCGCTCATGATGCCATCATTTATCGGTGCTTCTACGTTATCCAAGACCACACTGGTACCTCTACGGGGAGACGGCAGAACGCTGGAATCGCACAAGGGTGTCCGCTTTCTCCATGCTTATTCATAGCAGTCCAATCTGTCATGCTGCACGACGCCATCGACTCGCTACACCTGGACGAGGAGCCGGGACATGTGGTCACCCGGTATACTCTTTATGCCGGCGGCACTTTGCTAGTATCCCAGCACCAATCCAACCTCCATAAAATGTTGAACGCTATCATTGAGGAGGGGCGCAATTATGGTTTGGAGCTGAATTGGGGGAAAACAGTACAAATGCAAATTTCGACAAATCACGAGGTTACGACGCCGAGTGGTAGTGATATTAAGTTTGTACGGGACGCAATCTATTTGGAAGGTTTGCTTACATGTGACGGGAACGCGACTGCGGAGCTATGCAGATTGGGAGAAGCAAGCAAGCTTTTCAAGCAACTTAACAAACTTTGGTCACGCGCATCTCTGGGCTGGATGTTTTGAACAAACTATTATAGTATGTGGATTATTTGTGGTTGTTGAAAACTGACAGATGCCGGCTCGATGCCTTCCATTGCCGATGTGTGCGACGCATATTTGGAATTCCACATTCTTTCATATCACGGATCAGCAACGCAACCGTTCTCGATCAGGCTGGGGAGGAACCGCTATCGCAAGTTTTGGCTGGGAGGCAAAATAGGCTGTACCAGAAAATTGTCGCATATGGGCCTACTGCTTTAGTAAACCGAATTCTTTGCAACGGCGATGGGTCGCCGAAGAATTGGGCTCGCAAGCGCAGACGGGGACGACCGAGACAACAATGGGCGTCTTCAGTTTACAATGTGTTGCAACATGTTTGAGCAGGTGTGCAGATCGATCATCGTCGTCTTCATCCGTCATCTTCAGGTATGGCGTTTGTTCACGCCCGCGTGCTTCGAGTGCTTCGTGTGTCGTTTGGCCACACCTCTGTGCTTCGAGCGTTTCGAGTGACGTTTGGTCAATTGTATGTTTCCTGCCAACGCGTCCACCTGGACGCAAGGCTTCTGTCTGTCTGTCAGCGGCCCCTCGTGTCTGGGAAACCTGGCAACGTGCCACGATCAACCTTGCTGATCTGATGTATGAAGCTTGTTCTATGACCGAGCTCACCTCTACCAGACTGCATAAGCAGATGTCCCCCACATTGGCTTCCTGACGCCCTTCTCAACACTTACACGGCCAAAAGACGGCAAGGGACAGCTTCAAGACGGTCGCGAGATGCCGAAGGCCAACTCGGGACGACCAGACGAACTCCCAAAGGCTCCAAACGCGCCTCACGTGACCCGACTAAAACCCAAAAAGCCTTCCAAAGACGCGTCCAGGGAGGCCGTTAGAGGCCCAAAACAATGAAGGCCCCCAAGAAGCCTCCAGGATCCACTTGGGAGTGAGCCCGGGAGCGGATGAGGAGGAACGTGGAGGAAGAGGATGAGGCTGATGACAACGAGGTGGAAATACAAGACCCGCGCCTCTTCAGACAAGGCACTGAACTGGAGCGGCTTTCAAACCAAACCTCCTCCCTTCGTCGCAGCCGCGCTGGCACGGTGGCGGGGCTTGCTGCAGGCCGCTGGGCACACGCATGCCATTAGTATTATTAATTATTTGTGCGCGCCCAAGACCCTTCGGCCGATGATCCTGGACAAAGTGTCAGAGACGAGGTGTCAAAGACAATCGAGGTGCCCGCAGGGACCACGTTACGATACACACGCGCACAATAAGAGAACACATGCACCGTAGACCTGGCAAGATGCCAGCGGCCACGACCGAAGAGATAACATACGCACGCACGCCACACACACACGCGCGCGCGCACATGCACGCACAACCACACACACACATACCCGCACTTTTTGGCGGCGCGGCTGCGCGCGCAGCGATACAGCGGAGTCAGTCAGCTAAGAGCTCGATCTTCTGGGACCGCAACCCACTCAAGAGCGCGAGACAAGCGGCACACGCGAGCACACACACAACGTTTCCTTCTGCGGCGCAGTGAAGGTCACAAAATCGTGCATTCTGACAAAACTACACACACACGTAATCACACACACACACTCGCACACACAAACAAACACGCACACACATCCACGCATACACACATACACGTACGCACACACACATACACACTGCACACACTTTTCCGAACGAGAGCGCGGGTGTCGGCCCGCGCGCTGTCAGCAAAATCCGTGATCAAGCTACCCTCGCCCCAGCATGCCCATCCGCCCCATCCGCCGACGCAGCACTCGTAGACGCAGCCGAACGCCAGGATGACGACCCCGAGGAAGAACCAGAGCCTGCTGGCAGCGGCGGAAACATTCGATCAGCTCTCTGGATGTGGGTGGTTAGCGCCAACGCTTCCACTAACATCTCATCATCGCGGGCATACGCTAACATAGCTTACGGATCAGTGGATCTGGCGGGTGGGCGCCAGATTCAGTGATCGGGGGAAGTACCTTCAAAACATGACGCCCACGCCGTCTGATTGAAAGCACATGTGCTGTATCGTAGCGAGGCCCGTCGCTAATCCACGCGCTTTCAGCCATGCTGGCGCTTCCCCGAGTCGCCCCCTTGGGCCGTGGGTCTACCGCCCCGCTTCCCCCTGGACTGCACTGCGGGGGGCACAATTCCGAGTGTGCAGAAAAGCGTCCGGCTGGCTTGCCCCGCAGAGCCCCAGGTTGCTTACAGGATGGGACACGCTGGCCTCCAGCACGCCTTCCAGGCGCTCCACGGAATCCCCGCTCTCGGGTGGCCCCCGAGCTCCGTAAGACTGCCTCCTGGAGGCCAAGATTAACTAAAAGCAATCAATTGATTCCGTATGTTCGCCGTCTCGCAATCTGTGTGGCTTCCGATTGGCCTCGGAGGCCTCAAGATGACCACGAGATAACCACGAGAAACACCCCAAGCGCACCCCAAGAAACACCATATGGCCTCAAGCCATGGTTGTTCAGACCCCGAGGAGCGACGCTTCTCGTCCTTCTCTATGGGAGCCCCACGTCGGCCATCCCGGGGGGCAAACCGATGGCTCAAGCGAACATGCAGAAGTACATGGTAACATACAGCTTGAGGTTTTTTTGTTCAGCTTGCTACGATGCAGCTCAGCATCAACATCTTCGCAATCAAGCAGCAACGACAAGACTCGTAGTGCCCATGCACGGGAGAATTGATCTACGCGCCGACGCGCACGGCAGCACTTATTCAGGGCGGAGAGTCCCAGGGCACCTCAGATCGTGTGCCCCTGGAAGCTCCAATCGTCACACTTGGATTCTTCAAGCATCTTCCAGAAGGTGCTCTCCCACTCGCCCGTCTCCTCATTCTTCTCCTTGATCCAAAGAGCCACCTGCATCATGCGTCGCGGAATGTCCCAGTCGCTCCACAGTGACTCCACTGTCTCGTCGTCGTCGCGCGGCCGCGACGTCTTGTTGAACAAGGGCCCCCACGCATCCTTGTCCTTGCAGACGAGCTCGATTTGCTCCAAAGAATACTCGGGCTTCCACTCCTGGACCTTCTGCCGGATCTCGCCAACCGTGGTCTCCGCGGTCACGGGCACCGCGAACATCCCCATCGTCGTGAGGATCTTTACCTCGGGCACGTGGTCCGAGTCGCGTTCCGCGATCTCCGCGGCGCCCTTCTTGATCAAGCCGCCCTTCTCGTCCCAGATCTCGCGATCAGGGGCGGTGTTCTCAGTGAATATCACTTCCTGCCCCTCCTCCTCGGCCATGGCGCCGCGAGGGCTGGCGATAGAGAGCTAGGCGAAGGTCGGCGGATTTCTCAGGCGGAGAAGTGCGAACCAGAACGGCTTGAGCCCAAATGGCTACGGATTACGCACAGCTTGAGGTGAACGAAGCAGCGCAACGCTGGCCCGAGCTTAACTATGCTCGGTCCTGCTGAACGCTGCGATGCTAAACCGAATTAGGCTGACGGACCAGTATAAGCTAATCTCAGCACCGCCACCCCAGTGCAGGCCAGGACGCGTCAAGCCAAGCCAACCACATCCAGACTGGGCTCAAGCCAGCTCCGCCACTCAAAATCAAACTTGGGGCCACGCCGAACCACGTTGATCCCCGATCGAACCAAACCAAAACAACCTGCCCTGGCCTGTCTTACGCTACGCTGGCACAAACTGTGGCCACCACCCAACAGATTCGTTCCTCTTCCTACTTCGCCTCACCTCCTCATTCCTCCCCGACCCTCCTGCTCCGCAGCCGTACAATAGACAGGCCAAATAACGCTGTCTGCGACAAAAATGCAAGATTTGCTCACGCATGCTGTCTATACACCGGTATCTCCTCCAAGTCCCCATGATTGTTTTGCGGTGCTACCCCCCACGGGCCAGCACAGGTCGAAGTACCACTCCCACGCGAACCAATTCAGGAAGACGGGAAAGAAGGTGAACACGCCCGCGGCGAGAATTACAAATATGCCTGCGGAGAAGGGCAGCTGGTGGGCAAGATTGGATGTCAGCGAGACTGGGAGATATGAGCAACGAGGCCTGCCCAAGACAGAGCGAAACAGTTCGTCATTGCTGCTGTCGTTGTCATCGGTGTGGGCTTCTACTGCTGCTGCAGCCGCTCGCCATCGACACAGACGCTGCTGCGATTGTGACCACAAAGGCTGTTGCGATTGCGACTTTGGCTGCTAACAACACTGTGCCTTCGTCGGCGAAGCGAAGATGTGCCACTGATTCGGGCCGCATCGGCGCGGAAACGGATACCAATCGGACGGGTCACGCGAAATTGCTCAACGGCACCATGCAACGCGTCGGGCCGCATCGGATCGTCGGAATAACGAACTCGGATCGGATGAGGCCTGCTGAACCAGCATCAATTCGGATCGATCGGATCAACATAGATCCTGCAATGTGCGTTCGTCGGCATAGTGAAGACTTGGGGCACCCACCCCTATTGCTACACCTACAGCGCACGCTTCCAAGACGCGCAGCTTTCTGATTCGAGCGTGCTGGCTTCGGAAGCACCACGGGGGCTGTTCACAGAGAGTGAATCCTTTGCATGACCAGCATTTGACGCGTGAGAAAAAGAACATACATCAGCATACCGGTTGGACCACCCTACGGGTGATAAGGAGGTTGGGGTGAGGGAAGGGGGAGGCGGTCGATGTGCGATGGCTTTGGGTTCTTTGGTGGTTTCTACAACTTTCCTCTTGTCGCGGGCTGCTGTAGCGCCAGCGCCTGCATCTGCCGACCCTGTCGGCGTGTGTGAGGGGCTTGTCCGTTCGAGTCGTCGTCTCCGTCATTCATTCGTTCCCTTTTCCTGCGCTCTCCCTTTCCCTGGACCCGTCGCCGCTCCCCCGCCTTGCCCGGGGCCCTCCTCCTCAAGCGCTGGGCCCGTCGCCGCTCCCCCCCCTTCTCCAGGCCCTGCCTTCTCCTCGAGCGTGCCAGCCAAAACGAAATTGAGCAACGTCGTCATTGACTCGAAGGGAAGCCCCTTCCCTTTGATCCCTCCCCCGCAGGGAGGGAAGGGGGTCCCGGAGGCGGTCCTGGGGGGGCGGTCCCGTGTCAGATACGACTCCCCCCCGGGGGGTCCCAGGGCCCAAACAAAAACCCAAGACAGGCCAAGAGTGCCCCAAGCCAAGAGGCCTCCAAGACGGTCCAAGAGGGCCCCGACTCTGCGAATGATCTGTCCAAGACGCCTTTACGGCCTCCAGACGGGCCCAAGAGCCATTGCAAGACGCCCCAACAGGCATCCAGGAGCACTCCCAAAAAGGCCCCACGAGGAAGAACCACTAATTTCACAATGGTGCTTGAAGCATTTCGGCATTCTCGCACATTCTGTGTCTCGACGCTCGCTCCAAGACGGCCGAAGAGGCCCTCCAGATCGCACCAAGACGGCCCAAGAGGGCTCCAGAAGGGACTCGAAACGGCTTAAAAGAGGGCCCTAAGACGGCCCAATATGCCTCCAAGACGACCCCCAAGACGGTTCCAAGAGGGTGCCCAGACGAGGGACCAAAACGGACATTTCGAGCCCTCGGCCCCGAGAGGCTCCCAGGAGGAACCAAGAGGCCCCCTAAGAGACCCCCAAGAGGCCCCCCAAAGGCCCCCTGGAAGCCCCGACAGGCCCCCAAGAGGCTCCCAAGAGGCCCCCAGGAGGCTCCCGAGAGGCCCCCAAACTGTCCCCCAGAGGCCCACGAGGGCGCTTCGCAGAGACCCCAAAAAGCATCCATGAGGATTCTGATCCGCGTCAGCGTCGTCGTCGCCGCCGGCGCCGTTGTCGTCGCTCCCCGTCAGGGTCGGCGGCACCGGCTGTAAGGCCTTCGCAATTCGCCGGCCCAACGGGCCAGGGCGTGCTAAGATCTCCGGTAACTGGTTAACAGTATTAACAGTATTTCTAGTTCGCGCGCGCGGGGCGGCCCCTGGGGGTCCCCCGGCGAAAAGTACCCCGACCAACGCCCGGTCGCCGCCCGACCGCCGCCCGACCGCCCGACCCCGCCCGACCAAGTCTACTCAGAGATGGTTTTCCTTCTGGGTGCGGCCTCTCAGGCTCCCCAGAGCGCGCTCAGAGTGCCCCAAGAGGCCCCCAAGACTGCCCAAGAGGCCCCCGAGACGCCCAAAGAGCGCTCGAAGACGCCGAAGATGACCCCAAGACGGCCCAAAAGGCCCCCAAGACAGCCCAAGAGGCCTCCAAGACGCCCCAAGAGCCTTCCAAGAGGCCTCCGAAGAGAGCCCCAAGAGGCCAAAATCGTTGATTTTCATTTGTTTTTTCTATGTTTTTTGTGTTCTGGCTTTTTCGGCTTCCGGACGCTCCAAGACGGCCCAAGAGGCCCCCAAGACCGCTCCAAGACGGCCCACGAAGCTCCCAAGACGGCGCCGAAACGACCCAAGAGAGCCCTCAAGACGGCCCAAGTGCCGCCCAAGACGGACCAAGAGGCCCCAAGACGGGCCCAAGAGGGACTCAGGAGGGATACCGAGAACTCAAAAATGGAGCCCTCCGTCCCAGAAGGCGCCCAGGAGGTCCCAAAGAGGCCCCAAGAGGCCTCCAAGAGGCCCCAAGATGTCGCCAAGAGGCCCCAGGAGACTCCCAGGAGGCCCAAAAGAAGCCCCAGAAGGCTTCAAACATGTCTCCCAGGCGCCCCCGAACGGCCTCTCAACAGACCCCAAGAGGCCCCCCAAAGAAGCATCTTGACGACGACTCTATTTCGCCCCATCGAGAGACGACCCCCAGGGAACTGCTTCACCATCAAAACTCCCCACGCAACGCGTCCGAACGACACCCGCCCCCAAGAGCGCAACATGGGCAACGAACACACAGACAAAAACCAGCGATGCCATATCACGGGCCGGCGGAATGAGCGACGCGATTCAATAAAACAACCGTGCTGGAACGCACTCCTTTTGTCGGCACGAGCTGCTGGATTGACCTCGCTCGGCAACACAATACATACGTGAATAGGTGCTGGAGCGCACGCCGTTGGTTGCTGGAACGCTCGCGCTCCATAACTTCAGTGCTGGAGCACACCCCTGCTCCTGGTATGGGCTGCTAAAACGCCGTCGCTCGTTAAAAGTAAAGCGCTGGAGCGACTCAAGGGCCAGGGGTGTTAGCACTGCGCTCAAGCCTGGTTGTCAAACGGTGTGCTTGCGTGGATGGTTCCAGGCGCGCGCGCGTGAACGTGTCCACGCGTGCCCGCGCGCGCGTCAATTATTCGTGTATGCGCGTGTCAGCCGGTGCGCGGGGGCGTCTGACTCTGTAGGTGTCGCGCGTGCGGGGGGCATGTCACTCCGTAGGTACGCGCGTCCGTGCGTGAATCGTCCACTGGCAACAATACCCCCCGACTGTCCCCCTTCGCATTCCGCTCCTCCTGAAACTTCGATAACTGCAGTGAAGGTGCGTCCGTTGAATCCCAAACGAGCAAGAGACGAGAAGGCGCAGAGAGACCGCACTGTACGACAGCGGTGTTCAGCTACGCCGCACTACTGCGAGCGGCCCAGGCGCTCAAGCTTCTGGAAGGAGGCGGATAGATCCTGGTGGAAACGGGCCCTGGACCCAAGGTTTTCCTCGGGGCCAACTCCTCATCCACAGATGTGATTGCTCACGCCCACGGGGCCCGGGAAGGGGGCTACGAGCCCGAGGGCGACGAGAAAAAAACCGGGGGTCCCCCCCTCCAAGGCCTGTTTCCTACATGCTGGAGGATGCCTTCCCCCAGTCTGGGGGGCTAGGAAGGAAGGGGGGTGAAGAGGGAGGGAAGGGCGAGGAGGGGAGGAGCGAGGACGGGGGGGGCAAGGGGGGGGGGAGGGGCGAGGAGGGAGGGAGGGGCGAGGAGGGATCCCTTCCCCTTCTCCGAGGGGCGAAGGGGCAGGGGAGTGGACCCAAGGTCGAGGCGACAGCAACCGAGGCGACGGAGAGCCCACGCAAGGCAGTTCCACAGACCGGCGGCGAGCTCAGGGGGGAAGTGACAAATGGCGGGCCCTTTTCAGAAGGCTCGGAAGTCTCGTGGCCTTCTGAGAAATGTTCTCAACCTTCCCCGAAGACGCAGAAGACTTCTCAGGAGGCGCGAAAGCCTCTGAGAAGTCCCGCCGCCTTCCACGAAGGGTTCTTCCTTTTCACTTCCCCCCCTCGCTCGCCGCCGACCAGGGCCCCAAGGCCCAGAAACCGGGGAAGGGGGCACGCCCCCGGGGAAGGCCCGCAGTGGACTCGGGAGGGGCCGTCCTCGGCCTCTCCGCGATGCGCTCGCGGAGGAAGAGGAGAAAAGGAAAAGGAAGAGGAGAAGGCCGAGGAGAGAGGAGAAAGAGGAAGGCACCCTCGCGTGAGCAGCTGAGAAACAGCAGGAACGGGCGGGGATCCAGCGCCGCGGCAGACCTTCAG